CTTTTCTAGCTACATTGTATTATCTTTTCTAGTTTTATTTTATTGTAGACAGAGAAAGTTACCTGGCATTTGTAATGATTTTGTTTCTTTACTTTTATGGTCTGTTGATATTTAATCAGTTCTTGTAAATACTAAGCATGTACCTGGAAGGAAATTTCTCTTCAATTCTGAGTATGTTTTATGAAGGCAAATTAAGTCTGTTTTGTTAACCAGAGTGAAGTTGTTGGTAACTGTGGCTGACACTTTCAGATGTTTGAGTCAGTTTGTTTTGTGTCAGGTTAGTGAAGGTGGAGCTCAGTTTCCTGGAAGTCTTTTCATTATGTGTCACATTGCACTGGCCTGAGATGCAGTCAATAGCCACCTTTCCCTGCATGTGTTTGAGGCTCGGTACAGAAAGGTGTGCAGCGGGCCAGTCTGTCCTCTCTTCAACATGCATCTGCTTCCACTCGGAGCGGGCACCACAGCCGTGGGTGAAAAGCTGCATGTTTGTGCCAGGGGTAGCCCCCGAGAAATACTCCCTTTCCATAGACAGCTTCCCAAGCCTTCTGGGCCAATGCTCCTTCAGCACTCAGGGCACCCACTGGCTACAGTCTGTCCACCCACTGCAGTGCTCCAGGAGGGCACAACTGTGCATCTTGTCTGACTTTCTTCTTTTCAGATCACTGCAACCCAGACTTTCTACTTCAAATGACCAATTTCCTATAACTAACCCCATTTTTCTTGTAATATTTATAGCAGTTTCTCTTTGCTGATACTATACTATACTGTTTCATGAAATACTTAGGATGTGATATAGTCACCTTAATTTCTCACATCTACTCTTCTCCCCTTAAATATATTGGGAAGAAAAAAAATACATTTAACCTGATCATTTTTAGTAAGTGGAAACTAAATGTCTAGAGCTCTCAGGCAGTAAGGTTTCAATAAATTTACATACCATAGAATTAAAGCATTTCCACATATTTGGAAGCCCAGCCTGCAAATGCCATCACATAATTCCAAAAGATGGACTAATAAATTAATTCTTGCAAGTCACCACATCAATGGTTTAGTTTGGGCAATTTACACTCAAAAAATTTTCATTGCCTCACAATATAACGCTAGAGATTTCAGAAGCAGTTATAAATTCTTTTACTGCAGTGTTTTTTTCAGATTTGGTTTCCTCCCTGTTTCTGTAGTTGTTTCTTTACTTCAGATGCTATGTGTTCTGAGAATTCTTTTTTTATTTCAGAACAGAATTGCGCTCTGAGTTCCTCTCTAACTTTCTGCTGTTGCTTATTTACTATTGACACTATTAATTCATGCATTTGAGCCGAGATAGTGTCCTCTGCACTTGTTCTGGGTGGGCATTGGGTTTCCTCCATATGTTTTTGCATTTGATTCTTTACTGCAGATGTTATTAATTCAGGGATTTCTGTTTTTATTTCCAATCTGAGTTCCTCTATACCTTTCTGCAGCTGTTTCTTTATTTCAGAAGCCATTGATTCTTTGCTTTCAGCTGTGTGATTCCCAATTTGTTCTGTGTTAGTGTCCTCTGCACTTGTTATGGGTGAGCTTGGGTTCTGAGGTTGCATTTTATTCCTTCTCATCATTTTGTGTAGCACTGTCTTCTGACTTTGTTGTAGATCTTTGTTGCAGTTATAACCTTAGCACTACTGAAGTTCAGGTGCAGATCTACAAAGTTTGGATTTATCCCACTGTGCCTGCTTGGGTCTGGCTGCTGTGCTCAGCTCTTTCCTGTTGCTGCCCTTGGAGGTGAACCTGTTGTACCCCTCTGGCAAGATGTTCTGCTCCTGGACTAGCTGGGTGGTTCTGTCCCCTACAATCTCTGCAGGGATTGCACCTGCAGGTTTTCACCCAGGCCTGTATGCCAGGCCTGAGCTGAGTCTGGAGGGGACAAGATGGAGTAGGGGGGAGAGGCAGATCTCCCACACACTCACTGCACCTGTGCTAGGACTGGACCTGGGGGTTCCCCCAACGTGCCAGAAATTCCTACTCAGCGGGTGGGGTGGGGGAGGTGCTGCAGAGTGGCGGGGGGCGTCCCAAGGGGGTGGAAGAGGGTCTCACCCACTCTGCACCTGGGCTGGGACCAGTAGTAGGTCCCACTGGTGCAGGGTAGCTGGTAGCTCTCCCACACACTCACCAGGCCAGGGCTAGGACTGGGTCTGGGGGTTTCCGGAACACGGCAGAAATTCCTACTCTAATGCTAGAGATTTTAAAAGCATTGTCATAGGGATTGTGTTTCTAGAGAGCTGACTATGGGTCAGGGCTGTGCCCTTCTAGCACGTGGTCCAGACAACGTTAGTGAAGGTGACAGAGACTGGTTTTGACAAAGGTAGGCCTGAAAAAACACTGGAAATTTTTGCAACATGCATCATTTCTTCTTTCATCTTTTTGTTCATCTTCATCATGTTACAAAGTAGAAAAAGAAAAAAAAACAAAGAAAAAACAAAGAAAAACAGAAAACAAAAATCACAACCCTTTCTAATTTATCTATGCCATCCAACTTAGATATAAAAGATCCACAGCTGTTTGCCAATTACGTAACTTCCTAAGCTGTGTTACATATGCATGTGTATTTTAATGTCTGTAAACAACAAAATGATTCTAAAACCTCTTATTTAAAAATTCAAACTCTGAAAAACTGTACCAGTATTAAAATTTAAGAATAAATTGTGTATATGTGAAAATATAGTTTAAAATTATTACTTTGTTAACTAACTGAACCTAAATCTCTTGATATATAAGGACATATTACTTAAATCAACTTTCCCTGAATACCTGTGTATACCTCTTTCAAAAAAAAAAAGAAAGTTAAATTAGTAAAAAAGCAAAACACATATTCTGGGTCAGTTCTAGGGCTTACCATCACGAATACAGGAGACACCTACTACTCAAAAATTTTGGAAACGGCTATCTCACACAATTAAAACTGCACTATCGGGCCAGTGAAATAGCTCAACAGACTAAATTGCCTGCTTAGGCAAACTTAGGTAAAGTGCAGGGACCACAGTTCCATCTCTGGCACATGTCGTGCCAGCCCTGCCACCAAGCACAATGAGCTGGCCACCAAGTCTGAGCATGGTGGCTCACACTTGTAATCCCTGCGCTGGGAAGGCTGAAAGCAGGAGAAAAACCACAAGTCCAAGTTGCATAATGAGACCCTGCAACAACTAACTACATAAAAAGAACTGTACTACATACATTTTTATTACTGTCTTCAATCTTAGATAATGATGGAATAATTAACATAATATTGTGTCTAAAATTGAGTAGTAAAAAATTTGTCTAGTTAAAGAAATAACACTATAGCTAACACTGATTGCTTGTGGCAGACTTTCTTAGCTTGGGCAATGGTATTTCTTGCAATGCTGTTTTCCTTAATAATGTCCTTCAAATGCATCACAATTATCACCAGTTAAAACAAGTATAAGTGAACTTATTTCAAAACATTAGATTCCCTACTGAACAAAATGGACAAGTACTTTACCCTCAACTGGAGTCCATCATCAGAGATCTATGGCTACCAACTGTGTCTGAAACTGCAAAATCACATGGGATCTTAAATTTTGTTTTGGACATTTGCTGGTTCTAAGCCTTTCCCTCACCCTTACTAGGTGTCTGGTGCAGGAGGTCTGACCCTTCCCAGACCCAGCGTGAGCTGGCCCCAGCACAGCTTTTCTATTTCCAGGACCTTTTACTTCACTATAGCTTTTGAACGGGTCTCTACAAAATGATCCAGAAGTTTCTGCTTCATACATACAAACAAAGTCAATGAATACAAGGAGAGGTTATTTGAAAAAAGTCATGTGCCTTTTCGATTTGGATACTTCTGTCATAGAAGACCTCAAATATTTCCTGGAACATTTCTGAAAAAAAAAAAAAAAAAACAACTATGGTTTTGATGGGAGAATAAAAACAATGGCCATGCTGGTATGAACTGGTATCCGATGGTCGGATGCTCTTAGTTCACCCTCCCATAATTACCAAGGAGTTGTATTAAATGAGACAAATCTAGCTATATAAATTTGGCTCCTGATTTTGGTTCAAATACTTGCAGGAAGATGATGTCAGTGTTTTGTTGTATAATCGTCAAAGCATGGAGGGACTCAATAGGAAATCACAAGGCGAATACCGTCGTTGTCCAAAACATCTTAAAATGATACTACTCATCAATACTAAGGGTTACCTATTTCTTTAAAAATTTTTTTTGTCTTGCTAGTTTATCTATATGGTCTAGAAAGCCAACACCAGGTGTGTTTTAAATTGCAGTATAAATAACTGAGCTAAATTTGCTTTTATTTTATATTCTGGATCTATAAATACCTTTGAACCATGGAAATTAAAGCATATATCTATGAAACCACGGTTCCTGTTCTTCCTTATATTTATCAGCACTGAGGAAGAAAACAGCACGAGCTGTGTGTTGCATGCAACCGTGAGATCATGCTAAGTTTGATTTCTCAGGGCAGCAATACTTCATCTAGGATCATTGTATAGTAAATAACTGGTTTCTTAGGCAAGAGTACATCTTCTGTGAATAGGAATTCTTACTTACATTAGGAGATCATTTTATCTTAGAAAAGTGTTCCTCAAGTCTAACCAGTATTTGATAAAACTAGCAATTCCAGAAAAACTAGCTCATATTTCTATAAAATAATTCATGCTTTGTTATAAATATTTAATCTTGGGCAATAATTAATACTATCTGTCATATATTAAAAATCAACAATCCCATAAAATTTATTAGCATTACATAAAAGAAATACCAGTTTAAAAATCTTGTCATGAAGTTTCCTCAGATGTGCATGACAAAAGATGAAAGAGAATTCCTTTGGAATTAAGCTCCAACTTGAAACTTGAGATTCAAACACTGGATTATATCGTTCACTCTAATGGTATAGAAACCAGAACTGGATGTAGGAGTGAGGATTGTTGTGCATGCGTATAGGCCTAAATTTTAGAGGAATAGGTGAGGAAATATATTTTTCAATAAACAATCAATTTCAATACTTTTTACTTGTTTTTTTTTTTTTTTAGTGATAAATGATGTAGTAGTTTTTCCACTGAGTTTCTCTGATATTTGACCTGTTACATAAAATAAGCAGGTGACACTAGCATTTCTCAAGTGTCTAGGTCATAGGAAGAAGGCACTCAGCATTGCATGAGGAGATGGACCAGTATAAAAAGGCTGTAAACTTGTTCAAAGCTTTGGAATTTCTTCAATGCCAAGAGATCTCTTATAAACAACTTATATCTAGATTATAGTGCTCAAAAAGACTTTGTGACACAAAATAAGTATTACAGAAAAAAAACCATAATCTTAAGTAACTCGACAACTTTCTGAAGTGATTAAATCTATCAATACGTATTTTCCTGCACTCTTCCCTAAGAAAATACATTGATTTCTTTGTAGCACTTTTCATTTGCTAGAAGACTGTTTTCCACAGATAACCACAAATCTTGAGAACACTGTTCCCAACATGCTATCGTTAACAAGCTTGATGGTACAATTTTGTTGAAACTCAAACATTTAGTCTTTGGGTAGAAAAAATGGCTGCTACCTGGGCCTAGAAAGAGTATCAGGGACTCTGGTGAAAGCTTAACTCACACCAGACAATTTGAAGAATAAAGTCCTGCAAGGATATTTATCCAACACTGTTTAATGTGCGCATTTTCTCATGTCACGATTTTGGTTTTTCACTCGCATTATTTATAATGGCAGGATTCGTGGAACTTTTGTTCTCCTTTTTCTTGGAACATTATTTTCTTGATGAGAGGGAGATGAAAGTAACTGAATAAAAGACCAGGAAAAAGTGCAGATGCCCTGGAGAGTGGAGACACAGTCTATGCCCATGTGTCCTCCTGTACTGCAACACTGCGGGACTGCCTGTGTTCTGATTCCCTGGGTACCTTCAATGCTCATTCACAGCATCCCAGCACACAGGACCAGGGAACAGCCTGCATGTGGTGGAGACAACTATACTCCTCCAGGAATACAAAGTTGGCCTCTTAAAAAGTATACAAAAACTTTGTGCTAAAACAAAAAGAAAAGGTAAGTTGACACACGGCCTCTGGCCCTAACCCAGAGAAAAAAGCGGAGGCAGGCAACCAGCTGCTCCCCATCTGCTGACTAAATTGTGGATTTAGCCAGCTGCATTTTGTTCTCCTCGATCATAACATGCTTGGCAAATTCATTAGGATTAAGTCCCAATTTTTCTTTTAGCTTGTTGAGCTCAAAATCATGAAGAATCCTGACGGTCATTATTTTTTCCCGCTTGATTCTGTCCACAACATCTTTGGGCACATCGGGAATCATCCAGGCCAACAAAAACTTCACAAGAAACACGATGTGCTGGGGGAATAGAAAGGAAAACCAGAGATCCTGTTAGACTTCTCTGAAGATCTGCAGGATGTGCTTACAAATCTTTCCACTCATTTTTGTCTAAAGAGAAGGCTAACCAAGAAGAATTAGCCCTGTTGTGCAATTTTCACACACACACACACACACACACACACACACACACACAGAGGCAATAAACAACTTGACTATGAGGCTGGAGAAATTCGATTCACACATGGTTATTGAATAAACTCTTTATCTGTGATCCTTTTCAAAGCCTAAGAAAACAGCGTATAGGAACTTCACTGGTTGGTGAAAAAAAGTTAGGTTTTAATCTTGTAGTTGGTGATATGGTGATTGACAGTGGAAACTAAAGACAAAATAATAATTTTAGAAAAACAGAAGAATTTGGGAACAACTAGAGCAAGGATTTTTGAAAGCAGTGGTTTTTTTTTAATGATTTTATTGAGAAACAAATACCAATGAGACAGTTTCAAAGCTGATCAGTAGGACAGCTTCAATAATAAATACACTGCACACTGTTGTCTCTGTGGTTATACATTGTACAATATGCAGACAAGACATGCCATCCACAAACACTATTAGAACAAATCTTCTTATTCATTGAATTAAGAGAATGTAGCTGTATATCTATCCTAACTATTTTGAATATACAGATACAAAATGGTCATTCATTTGTTTCCCCTTTATTTGTTTAGTTCTGTCAGAGAAGGGTATTCCATCATCATTTAAATATTGTAGGTGCGTGAATTCAACAAAATATTCCACTATAGACCTGTAGTTCATAATAGTAGTGTGTCATCTGCAGGACTGGCAATGTCAGAAGTTGTTGACCTGAGCCCTATACAGCCAACACCAATATGGTGAAGGCAGTGGTTTAGGGGGGAATTGAAAAGAAGAATGTGAGGTAAAATTTGTATAAGAAACAATAAAATCACTAGGCCCTCACCCCATCTCTGCCCTGTGTCTGTTCTCCTCAAACACACCTCCCAGGTAGCAGAGGAATAGCTTATTTTTAAACCAGAAAGTTGCACACTTAGGAATAACATACATAGTCAAGGATGGAGGCAGGAACATTCTAAAGTTGAATGTTCAAAACATTCAGTTCGACCCAGTCAGTCATTGTGATCTCAGGTCATTCACCTTCCTCAGCTCTCAGGCAGCCAGGAAATCAAGAGATGAGAAGTTAGGGAATTTTTCCCTGGGAAAAATAACCTATTTATGGAAGCAGATGCATGAACATTCTGTAAGTGTCCAATGAGAAGGTGGGCTCCTCACCTGACCCTAAAACTCATCTGAGTGACAGTACACAAAACAAGGTCAGTGAGTACTCAGGACATAAGAGAACCTGTACTGTAACATCCGGTAACTCAGTGGTGTCCCAAATTTTCTGATCAAGGAGAACATGGGGCCACAGAGGAAAGTGATTGATGATGTATAATGTGCCTAAGGAGAGTTACCAAGAGAGAAAACATTCTCTCAGGTTTTAACAGAGAGCAAATTGGTCAAGCAATGGCTGTGATTCATTCACATGGCTGACACTGACAAAAGATCTATAAACTGTGGTACAGGGTTTCAGGGTAAATCCTGAGGTTATGTGACTGATCTTGGCAGATAAAAATTTATATTTCCTGTTATATAGGTTTTGCTTCATCTCGGTCTTAAGCATCCAGCAGAGAAGTATGCAAATGAAGTATAAAACATAAAGCCATATGAATATGCTGAGCTGTAAAAAGCTCAAGTTAACAACTTCTGACATTGTCAGTCCTATGGATAACCCACTACTATTATAAACTACTGGACTATATTGGATTATTTTGCTGAATTCACACACCTACAATACTTAAATGGCAATGGAACACCCATATCTGACAAAACTAAAACAAGGGGGATCTAAATGAAGGACCATTTTGTATCTGTATATACAAAATAGGATACATATACAGCTACTTTCTCTTAGTTCAATGAGAGGAAATATTTGTACTAATAGTGTTTGGACAGGATATCATGTCTGCATCTTGTACTATGAATAATTACTATGAAGACAACAATATGCAATGTATTAATTATTGTAACTATCCTACTAACCTGTTTTGAAACTGTCTCATTGCTACTTGTTTCTCAATAAAATTAATGAAAAAAAAAAGAGTACAAGCAGGAGGAGCAGAACTTGCAGTTATAAAATAAATTTCCTGACATGAATACAAAAAAAATAAATAAATAAAAAAAAACAACCAAGAACAGAGAAGAAAGAAAGGTAATTAAAGCCCCCCCCCAAAAAAAAGAATGGCAAATAACCACTTAAATCTCTTCAAAAAAGAGAAAGTAAATGCTAATTAGAAGTTTGAAAGAAGGGTATTATCTGAAGAACAGAAGTTAGAACAGATACATATAATTCAAATAAATTTCCCAATTTCAAGTGTATGAACGTTCTCAAATCTATGAGCCTCAGGGATTATCCAGCATGAGTATTTTGTCAAATAGCAAGGAACATTCTGGTAAGGTTTTATGAAAGCAGGACTGGTGAGAGAATCTTTAATGTTTACTGAATTAAAAGAAAGAAGCTCAGAAACAGAGACTGGAGGGTCACACTAGCTGTGTCTTTTACAACTCTAAGCTGAAAGTAAATGGAGTGATAAATTAATAGAATTTAACAATATCTATATGAATTTGGCATTTTAAAGGGAAAAAATCTTTTAATGTTAAATTCTATAACAATTACATGTAAGAAAAAAAGACCTCAAAATTGACTATGCATAATTTTTCCTGAGGTTACTGAAAAAAATGTGTTTCAATGAAGCTAGTAAAGGGATTTCTGATGAAATTTCTCAGACCAAAAGACAATCTAAGCTTCTGAGTGAATACATGGGATTTGAAGTCGTGGTGTGATCAAAGCATGCAGTGATTTTTAAGTCAAAGCAAAAGACACATTGGCATCATTCTACCTCAAAGTACTTCTCTTCACTTTACAAACACTCTGGTTCTCATCAGAGTCTCTGCAGCAGCTTTCGCAGTTTCTGTGGCCACACCTTGGAAAGAATTTGTGAAAGAGGACTTCCTGCGCTGCTTCAGAAAGTGGCAAGAATGATGGCACAAGTGTGTTCAAATGGAGGGGAAGGGCTTTCAGGATGACTGATGACAATGCGTGCTGTACCATGACATATTGTATTTAAACATTCACAGTCCCTTGTTTCAAGCTCTGAAACTTACCTCTAATACCAGCGGATTAGACTTAAGCTACCTACTTATGAGTGCTGCCTATTAGATCCAATTGGTCAAGTTAAATAACTAAGTATAATTTGCAAAATTTTATGACTTAAAATAGCTTCTTGAACCAGAACATGATAATAGACTTTTTGTAAAACAGCAGACGCTCTTTCCTGTTCCTAACATCATCAAAAATGCTAGACATTTCTGTTCCTTTTCTGTCACCATGGTATCTTTAACAACAGTCAATACATGATAGGCAGCCCCAGACACTGAAAAGGTCCCTACTCAGCCTTCTGCCACAACGAATGATTCCATCAAAACAACTTACTGAGATAAGGCTTTCTAATGCACAGCTACTTTACAAACAGTGTGGCCGACCTGAGAGGAGGAAGCAGCAGGGAGAAAAGCTGAGAACACTTACTTCCATAATTATGATGAACGTCATCTTGGCAGCCAGGACGTGCCAGAACTGCATATTATGAAGGTACTTATTCTCACTGCCAGGAGGATTTCTATAATCTTGGTATCTGGAGAAACAGAAATAAATAAATAAATAAATAAATAAATAAATAAATAAAAAACAGTAGATTCAACTAGAGTGACTCGGCCTAAACTCTTATTATTCATTGACCCCAGAAGGGAGGTCATAGGAAAGCAACTGATGCAGAACATTTGCTGTGTCATATAATAAACTTGGGAGCAGGTGCCATTTCTATGCAGTACATCTCTAACAGGAATCTATAAGGGAAACCTCTCTCTTGTCTTGCAAAGAGAATCTTCAAGAATGAGCGAGGAAGCTTTGCAGCTTTCCATTTCCTTTCTTTTTTATCCTCCAGACACTTAGTTCTCTATCCATCCCTTGACCAAAAGTGATTAACAACCATTGTTAAATGGAAGGGACATCGTTTTGGTTTATGTTTAGTCGTGCCACAAAGCCTCATGCCGTCATGGGGCAGATTTCTAGAGTTTGTGATTAACTCATGACCCACTGGAATTATGGCTGTGAGTGCTGCTGGGAGTATGGTTGTGAGTACTGCACTCAGGCTAGAGCGGATAGTCTGAATGCAACTTAAGGGAGACACTTAAGCCACTTGTTCTCTGTGGCTGTTGTAGCTGCTGCTCCTCCCTTTTGCTCTTGCTGTTTTGCTGCCTTCTGCCTCCATGAACTGCTGTCCTCTGCCTCATGCCACTCTGCCTTGGAGCCAGCCGAGTATGGACTGAAACCTCCAGCAACTGAGCTAAATAAACCTTCCCTTCCTTCATTTTGAGTGCCTGGTATTTGTTCTAGCAATGAGAGAAAAGTAACTGAGGCACACATTTTAATCCTTAGCCTATTTGACTTTTAAAGAATGAAATTGGTATTCTTCATCATTTTTGTTTTCTTCAACCTCTATTTTCTCTTGGAAGGGTTGGCTCTGCATTACTCTATTTTTCTAGATTTTTCTTGGTACTTAACTTTGTAATCTCATTCTTTTCTATAAATTCCCCACTGAGCCGGGGAGATGGCTCAGTGGAATAAGCACTTGCCTGGCAAGCTCAAAGGGCCTCAATTCAATCCCTAGTTCCACCAAAAAAGTAATAATAAATAAATAAATAAATAAATAAATAAGAAAAAAAATAAATTTCCCACCTATTGCCGATTTGCCAAGAATTACTCTCACTGGAAAATGATGAAATGTATAAATCTGACAACAATGTCCGTGCACAATCATTATGCTATGAATTGTTTATATCCAAATACAGAACAGAATCTGTTATCATTTTTTATCATATTTTGCTGAAATCCTAAAGGAATCACTTGCTTAACATTTAAGTGACCTCAGTGTTTGTCTGCCTATATGTCATTTTAAAATTTTATAGAATAAATATACTCATGTATACTGAGTATTGAAGCAGCAGATTTTGCAATCTTATTTCATATTCTTTACTCAGAAAGAAAAAACCCAGCTTTAGATGAGATACCTGGTGGATGATCATATTATTACATAATTGTTTTCTTCTTTTCTAAGGATCCATAGTTAAATTCAACTAACACACACAGTATATTCATAGTGTAGGATGCGTAGATATTACAATTTGAGACCTTCGTTGTTGAGGAAACTGAGAAAACCAAGATACTGCAAAATCAACATGATCATTACCCCCAATAGTCTCTTCTTTTTTACACTGCTCCTTTCAAAATCAGAATCATGCAATATGAGAATCCAGAAATTGAATCATGCTATTTATTCAGGATTTGTTTTTGCCTCAAGTAAATTCCTGACATGTTGAAATGTGAAAGAAAAAAATTAGAAGTATATTTAAATAGCAAGATCAAAATCTAGACAGAAAAATCATACCTGCACGTGGTGAAGTCTCGCTTTTCCAAAGGTACAGTGTGGTTTGGAAAATCAGCTATCAGGAATATCGACAGACTGTTGTTGACGTAGCCGCTCAAAGGCTCTGTGGTGTTTGTGGAGTAAGCATAGTAGTAAACTAAGCGGGGGATGATGTCCGACGTGAACGCAACTATAAAAGCCTGGATGACAAAGCAAGAGGAAAGATTATGAGCTGTAAAAATCCTGGATCTGTGCTGGAGAGATAGCTCGGCAATGTGAGTACCTGCCTGGCAAGCTCAAGGTCCTGAGTTCAATCCCCAGTACCACAACAAACAACAGCAACAACAACAACAACAACAAAAAACCCATGGATCTGTGTATCTTTCAGTCCTACAAGTCTTCTGGTTGCAAACAGATGAAAACATAATTAATGATAGTAATGTGCCACTCTTTGGCCTACAGTGCGAAACAGCTCATTTATAGTACTGAGTAAATATTCCAAGATTTAGTAGCTAAAGTTGGCTAAATTGGGAATTGAAACTCAATGCATCTGTCTTAATACAAAACAAAAAATCCTTGCCTTTTCCTATTTCTTATTTTTCCATTTGTGTTGATTTGTGTTTTGTTGTCCACACCCGCGAATATGCTTGGCTGTGTTGGTGGGGGAGACCAGGAAAGCAAAGGCGATAGGTCCCGGAAATCTGGGCACAGCTCGCTGCGACTTGACTCCACGGAGATGTTATTTTCTAGAACTTTCTTGAGTTCACAAATTGTGTAAGTAGCTTGTTTCCCTTAGAATAGACAAGTTAATTGGCAGCCTTCTGGCTCTGTCATCAATGCTTTTAGTGGCAGAATTTTTAAATTTATTATTACTTCTATGGCTGCTATCTATTCAAACTTTATTCCTTACTGAATAAATTTGGAGTTTTTATTTCCTTAAAACATGCTAGTTTCAAATAGATTGATGTTTACAATATGGGGAACATGCAATCCTTCATACTTTTCAGGGCTTTGTTTGTACCATGCCTTTTGTTGTTGTTGTTGCTAAACTTTAGACTATCTAGCATTGTTAGGCTCTTGTTTCTTTTTTTTTTTTCTTTTGCTTTTGTTTTAGTACAGGGTCTTTAGGGTCTCACTGTGTAGATCAGACTCGTAGTGATTCTCCCATTTTCAGCCTCCCAAGAGCTGGGATTACAGATGCGCACTACAATGCCCAATCTCAATTGCCCTCTTAGCGCACTCCAGGGGCAAAACCAGCACAGAAGGCTGGGGATCGAACCCCGGTCCCTGCATCTACCTAAGCAGGTGCTTTAATTTGCTGAGCTATCTGGCCGGCCTATAAATGCACTATAGACATAAGTAAATGTTTACTTTCTGACTGTGGTATATAAATGTGTGTATCATCAATCTTCGATGGATTGTTCAAAAAATATCAGCACTTATTTATATCTAATTGGCCACATAGTAAGAAATAATATGTAGTTTTGCTTTTTTAATTTTTTTTATGTATTACATAAGGTCTCACTATGAGTACAAGGTCTAACTATGCAGCTTGGACTCATAGTGGTCCTCCTGTTTTCAGCCTCCCCAGCACTAGTATTACAGGCATGCACCACCACGCCCGGACCCACCAGCTTGGTGCATCCGGGGGTAGCAGGGGGGCGGGCACAGCATGCAGTACCAGGGAGCAAACCCAGGTCCTTGAGATTACCTAAGCAGGCACTCAGACTGCTGAGCTATCTCTGCAGCCCTGATATATTGAAATTTTAATAAAAGGCTTTTTAATTTTTCTTCTCCTTTTGAGGGTCTGCATGCCATACATTTCTTTTTCTTATTCAGTGCATGAACGTTCAGGATGTTTTGTATTTCTGGCCTACCACCGTGAGGAAAGAAGTGCAGAGAATGAGAGGCGTACCACTCGCCTGTCTCCATTCCCAAGGAGACAAATAAAATGCCAAGAAGCCCCGGTGAGGCAGCCCGACTTACATTAGTTGCAACTGAAAGCACCGCCACGCCAGCCAGAATGTCCTGCCACACCCCTATGCTGTGCGCCTTGGCAGCCACGGGTCTCCTGTACTGAGTGGTCAGCTTCCAGGCGTCCACGCGGATCTCCACAATGTTGTTCATCAGTGCAAAGAGAGGGGCCAGAGGGAAGGAGGCCACAAAGAGTGTGACAAATCCGAACTGGATCACTGAGGAGAGAAGAAGAAGAAAAACATGAGCTCAGGATCGCCAGAGCAGGGGCAGCGGTCCAGTCGCTCCTGTCCTTCTTTCATCGGGAAGAGATAAACAGCATCAGACGATCCATGTCTCCTTCCATCTGCCTCCTATCACAGGGGGCAGTGATGCAGTTACCTTCTAGAACTGGAAGAAGGAACTTAGATGGAGAACTCAGTTGTCCTGGTACTGCCTCGCGAGATCCAAGTGTCTAAAGACAGAATCTATTCTTTGCCTTTCATTATGGGATAAGTTTCCTGTTACCCTAGTCCTTATGTTTTCTTTGGCACTTAGATTTGTGCTGGATACCTAAATATCTTTTTTTGAAAATCTATATGCTTTTTTGATTAAGATGATGACTGATTCATTTGCATGCTTTCCATGGCTGGGATGTGTATATAAAATTTTTATAAATACACAATATATGCATATGTATACGTATATGCAAATATATGTAAAATGATGTGAAATAAACCAGATACCAAAGGTGAAATATCATGTAGTTTCTCTTATCAGAGAAATTCAAAGTATAAATAAGAAGATATAAAACAAAATATAAGAAAGATGAGAGACAAGAGAGAGGTAGACTCTGTGGAGCTGGGAAAGGGAAAGGGATCTTTAGTGGAGACTGGGGAGATGAGGAATGGAAGTGAAGGGGAGATAAGAACTACCAAGTGTGATACAGATAAATCACAATACCGCACAGTGAATGTATTCATTATGTATTGCCATCCCATGCTAATAATAAATTTTTAAAAATACAAATTTTATGGAATAATGTACTTGTGAAGACCCCCATATTTTACACTCTTTTGGCATTTTCCTAAATAAGCTTTTCTGTCTCACCTCATTAAGACTTAGCCAAGAGCTGCTAGCCGACTTCTCACTTTGTTTATTGGTTTCTAACAATGTTTGTACTAAGGGAGCCTGCACAACTGACAGCTCGAACTTTCCACACAAGTGAAGGAAAAAGAAGAGAGACATGGCTTTCTAGTAAGGAAGGAAGAAAGATTATTTTCACCAGCTCTCTATTTTTAAATGAATCCTCAGTATCTTTGGGCTTCAGCTTTGTTTTGTTTTGCAAGATCACAGCATTCTGGTTATTAAGTCATAAATATATAGTGACACTTCTCTCTCTCTGATTTTCTTTCCTGAACAAATATAAAGCAGAGATATCAAATAGAGGAAACATCAATTAGGAGGCTCAAATCTAGATCTCTGGCTAGAACTGTCGTGGCTCAGAGAAAATTAATTGGATTATTGAAATTTCAGTCTCCTCAACAAATAAAGCATGCCAGTAATGACTAAACAATTACTTCAAGATTAAAGATAACTGGGAAAGTTTCCAGGATAAATGAACTAAGTTGCATTTCATAAAATGGTAGTTAATCTTGTGATGAAAACTCCATGTCCTCTTTTAATTTCTTTTTTTTCTCTTTTAATTTCAAAACTAATGCTTAATATACACATGCAATGATTTAGAAGTTATACAATTAATAAAAATTATAGCCTTACTGCCCCTAAAACAGATATTTTATGCATCTTTATAAAACACACTTTCTTCCATGTGTCCTAAGTTTACCAATTTCATTTGGAGGTAACACATTCATGTATTGTGCTAAAGAATCAATTTCGAATCATCTCACTCATCTCACTATGATATTATGGGATTTGGGAGCCAGTGAAAAAAATCTGTTCTCTGTAGAAAGAAAATTTGTTCTCTAGAGAAGCAAAGGAACTTGAGTGGAAATTCTGAGTGTGGTGCAGGTACAGTCCCCGTAACTATCTCTCCTAAAATTTCACCTCAACGTAGTTTCCCTGTTCAACACTTGGAATATTTTATGCATTTCTCATTTTAAGCCTCTATCTAACTTATACAACTGTGTTAGCATTTTTTAGCCAAGCCTAAAGGATATACACTAAACAATGTCAGATTTGGAAATGTTTTCTAACTTATTTTTTTCCAAGCAGACAAAGAAGATAAAATGATTTGGTTCGACATTATTAATATTCAGTTGATAAGAAAAGATGTCTCTAAGCGTGGTGTTTGGAAAATAAACTTTATTCTGCTTAGTGGGATAGGAACGTTATCAATCGTTCTCTTATCTCCATTCATTCATCCTTTTACCCACCATCCAATGATGTCAGGCACCTCACCTACCATAAGCCTGGCAACAAGAAATATTATGGGATGAAAACTTCCATTTTTTTTATTCAGGTTGGCTCTGTGCTTCATAGTACTGATTGAGAATTACCTGTTTCTAAATACTCATAGAATAAGCCAAGTTGTCCAAAGCACTGAAGATCGTGATCCTGTTCCCAACGACTATATAGTTTCTCAGAGTTGGTCCGAGCTTTTCGACGTCTCCACCAATTAAAGACCAAGCTGTTGGAAGTGACGAAAGTGAACATGAAAGAGAGCTAAACAGAAAGAAGCCACTAAGTTGGTGTGTTAAATCTGAAATGCCACTAAGAAAAGATTACTTAAGATCAAACACAAAGAGATTCGTGACATGAACTGAAGCCCAACTCAAAATCTAGAGTCATTTTCATGATACATGTTCCTTATTTTTTTATTTTTAGGGTTATTAGGAAAACAAGAAGATCTTGACTGTTCTCAGGGACATATACTTACTCAGAGACATTGCTCTGCATATCTGTTTTATGCCAGTACCATGCTGCTTTCATTTATTTAACTTTTTTTAAACCAACTCAGAATCGAACTCATGGCCTCTAGCTTGCCAAGCAGGGGCTGTGCTGCTGAGCTATACTGCAGCCCATAAGCTGCTTTTGTTACAATGACTCTGTAGTGCATTTGATATCAGAATCTAGATGTCTGGATTATTTTGGTCATTCTAGGTCTTTTGAGATTCCATATAAATGTCTGGATTCTTTTTTCTAGTTCTCTGAAAAATGTCTTTATATTTTGATAGGGATTGCATGTACTTCATGTGGTGTTTTCGGTAACATGATCATTTCCACAATATTAAGGAACATGGAGTTCTTTGCTTCTAGCATCTTTCTTCATCCCATGTTCTATAAATTTTGTTTTAAGGACCTTTAATGTCTTAGATTAAATGGTTAGATTGTTTCCTGTTTAAAGTTTTTGAACTGTTGTGAATGCAACTGTTTTCCTGGCTTGTTTCTCAGCTAATCAAGTACTGGTGTACAGAAAAATCTGCTGATCTACAGGGCTGGGGAGAGAGCTCAGTATTCTTAGCACCTGCTTGGCAAGCACAAGGACCCAGGTTCGATCCCCAGTCCTACGCACTGTTTCAGCCATTGAAACCGGGCGTGGTGCACATGCCTGTAATCTCAGCACTGCGAAGGCTGAGACAGAAGGATCACTATGAGTATGAACGGTTTATCGAGACCCTGTACCAAATAAATAAAATATTTTTTAAAAGGATAAAATATGCTGATTCTTAATGTTGATCCTGTATCCTGATACTTTGGTATATTATTCAGATGTAAAAGTCTCTTGGTAGCATCTTTTAGAGACTTCTAAGTATAGGATCATATCATCTACAATTAAGCAATGTTCAAGTTCTTACCTTTCTATTTGTATCTCTTTTAGCTGTCTTACATAGTTCCGGTGAAAATTCCTAGCACTATATTGAATAAGAATGGTAAGAGCAGAAACACTTGTTTCTGAATTGAGAGAAGTGTTTAGTTTTTGTTCCCATTCAATGTGATTTTAACTATGAGATTTTCATAAAAGGCATTCTTATGTTGAGGTATGATTCCTGTTCCTTCAGGGGTTTTCTTATGAAAAGATACCGAATTCTGTCAAAGACGTTTTGTGTATCAAATCACCATATTTGTCTCTTATCATCTAGTTTATTCACATGATATATTTATATTGAACCATCTTTGTATCCTTTGAACTGGACCCAACTGATCATGGTGTACAATGCTGTACCACTCCTCTTTCCATCTCTATTTGTATTGATTTGGATTTCTCTTGATTTGGCTAGCGTGGCTAATAGCTAATCAATCTTGTTTATCTTTTGAAAGAATCAATTTGTTGTTATGTTGCCCTATTGTATTTACATTTAGTCCCTATTTCATTATTTTTCAGCTCTCGTATTTATTACTTCCTTCTACTGGCTTTGGTTTTGACTTGTTATAGTTTTATAGTGCCCTGAGCTGTACCCTTAAATTACTTACCTGAGCTCTCATTTGTAATGTAGGTGCTCACAGCTATGGACTTCCTTCACAGAGATTCTGGTAAGTTAGACTTCAATTTTCATTTGCTTTTAGGAATTTTAAAAATTTCCCTCTTAATTTCATCAATGACTGTTTGCTCAATAGTGAGCTGTTCGGTTTTCCGAAGTTCGCATCATTTCTTTAGTTTCTTTAGTCACTTTCTAGCTTTATTCTATTTGCGATTATTGCAAATTTTTTACATTTATTTGGTCTTTTTTTGGGAGAACTGTGAGTTGCTATGAAAGCATATTCTGAACATGTAGATATGTGGAATATTTAAAAGATGTCTGTGTCCCTTTGATCTACGGTGTATAGTTTAACTCTCATGGCTTAATTTTTTTTTTTTTTGAATGATTTAGTATAAAAGCTACCCAATACTGCCATATTGGCATTTGTATGTGTCTTTGTGCTGAGCAATGATTACTTTTTGAAATTCAGTAAACCAAAGTTCGGTGAGAGGATATTAATGACCATTATAATGTTTTGGCAGAGTGCTTCCTCTGCCAAGTGGACTTCGTGGGCTCATCGAACTCTGGCATGAGGTCAGCTTTGCTGGCCATGACAGCAGCCGCATCTGCTTCCTCTCAGATTCCACTTGCATGAAATACTCTTCTCCATCTCTTTTCAATGTGTTTCTTACTTTCCTGATGAGGTACATTTCTTTTCTTTTCTCTTTTTTTCTTTTTCCCACATAATACAAACCTTTACTGATGTGACTTTCCAGTTTCACATTTAGCTAACCTGTAGGAAATTACTGCTTGTGAAGTTTTGTTTTATAGCAGAGATGAGTAGCCATCATTATTTGAAAAGGCTACTGAAAAATTATGTCATTTTCCAAATACATATCAGTGTGAGGCAGCATTTTCTTTATTTCAAAACTTTTAACAGATTGAAAGCCAAAGCAAACATGAGATCATCGCTAGCCTCTATTAAGCTAAAGTTTTATGAGATTTGCAAAATTATTTAATTTCTTAAAGAAAATAAAGAACAGGGGCCGGGGAGATGGCTCAGTGGAATAAGCGCTTCCCTGGCAAGCACAAGGGCCTGAGTTCAATCCCCGGTTCCAGAAAAAAAAAAGAAAAGAAAAGAAAAGAAAAGAAAGAACAGCAGAAAAAAACAGAAATGATACAAAATTTTGCTAAACAATGGTTATACTGCATATTGTTGTATTCAAATTAGTTGTTCGGATTACCTGATATAAACATGCAAAATAAGTAAAACAATTTATTTTTATTTTTATTTATTTTTGTATTTTAGGGAAGGGCCTACAGGGTGCTCAGGGTCTCACTACTAGATCGGACTCATAGTCATCCGCCTGTTTGTAGCCTCCCAAGAGCTGGGATTACAGGTGAGTGCCACCACGCCCTGTCTCAAGGTTGTCTCTGCTTGCCCTGGGGGCAGGGCTGGGATGGCAGACCAGGGGATCAAACCCCTGGTCCCTGCACCTGCTTGCAGGCACTTTAATCCACTGAGCTATTTGGCTGGCCCCAAAAGAAACAATTTAAAACACAAAACAAAACAAAAATGGATGTTAACTGTTCCTTTCAATACACCAGTGGAAATTACAGTAAAATTATGCACACTGTCCTGTGCATACACCAACATATTCTATTCTCTGTCTCTGTCTCTGTCTAGCTCTCTGTGTCTCTGTCTTCGCCTCTGTCTCTCTCTGTTTCTGTCTCTGTCTGTCTCTGTCTCTCTGTCTCTCCGTCTCTTTGTCTCTGTCTCTCTGTCTGTCTCTCTTTCTCCCCTCTCACTCTCATTTCCCTCATCCCAGTTCTTCCTTCCCTTCCAATAGTTTCTTTCCCTCTCACAGTACCTATTGTTCCTTGTGGACTTTATTTACTCTTTCAGCTTCTTACACTAGGGAGACAATCTGGTGTTTATACATGCAGGTCTGATTTATTTCACTTATGAGTACGGTCTCTAGTTGCATCCGTTTACCTACAAAAGCCTCAATTGTGAGTCAGTTCCTGTCTGGAAAGCCAATCTTCTGGTCTGTCTCTTGGCTGGAGAATCGAGACCATTCACACTCGGGGTTAGTACTGAGAGGTATGTATTAATTCCAGTCATTTTCTTGTGATTCCCACATTGGATTCTTTCCAGTGCTCCTTTGATCCTACACTCATGCTTTTCTGGATCTTGTGTTCCTTTGGCAATGCTGGCTGAATGTTCATAAATTTCTTCAGTGTATATGCATATTAGAGGGTCTTTATTGCTTCTTTAATTCTGAGTAATAGCTTTGCTGGACTGCTAGTCTGTGTGGACACTTATTTAAAGACTTGAAATGCTTTGTTCCATGGCATTTTGGGTTTCCACAGAGAAGTCTGTATTTATTCTGTTGGGATTGCCTGCACAAATGACTTGCATTTCTCTCTTGGAGCTTTCAATATATTTTTTTGGCCGTACTATTTACCTTGTAAGTGTAACATGACATGGAGTAGTCCCTTCCTGATGCAGCCTGTTTGGGGTTCCACCTGCCTGCTCACCCTGCATCTTTTCCCAAATTGGGGAAATTTTTGAATTATTTTACTGAATAGAGATTTTGTCTTCAGCCTGTCCCTTGGCTCCTTCTTCCATATGAAAATTCATGCTTTTTTCTTCTGAGACTCAAGTTCTGTCCACTGCTTGATCCACTTTATTGGAAGCCTGTCCTCTGAGCTTTATAGTTCCAAGATTTATGTTTCAGTATTTACCTTCATCACTGTCTCTTTGTTATTTTCCATATTATTCAATATCTTTATTTCATTCAGCTATTTATTTTCAATTTCTTTAAAGACATCATTTTAAAAATCAATTAACTGGATCTTCAGCATTTCATACATTTTGATACCCTTGGATTCAGTTATTGATGAGTTATGAATCCTGTTGGAATCAAGCTACTTTCCTCTGCATACTGG